ACGGCTATGATGAATGCTACATCTACGAGGAATCAGAGGTAAGAGGTACTATTAGATAAAATAGTGAAACTATGAGGTGATACATACTAGGAACAGAAAGGAAAAATATAAGACAAACATGATGTCAGTTAGGAAGAGGCGTACACCATTGAAATAATGTCTATGTGCAATCAGGTTGACATCAACAGTGCCATGGATGACCCTCCAGTAGTAGCTGAAGTCACAAAGGCTGCCAGCCAGATAAAGCTCTAGCGGCTGATGCCATACCTGCAGAGATCTACAAAGCTGTTGGCCCTGTACCTACAGAGAAACTAGCTGAGTTGTTCAAGTTTTTTGCTAACTCATCTGGAGTTGGGCCTGCTGCCAGAGTCACAGTCCAGCTTCCATAAAGGCTGTGGGGCTATTGACATGATATATGCCATGCACCAGCTTCAGGAGAAGTATCAGGAGCAGAATTGTGAACTTTACACAACTGTTGTTAATCTCACGAAAGACTTTGACACTGTTAGCAAACAGGGCCTGTGGGTGATCATGTTGAAGTTTGGCTGCCCTGCCAAATTCATTCAGATAGTATACCGATTCCATGATGGCATGATGGCCAGAGTGCTGGATGGTGGGGAATCTTCTAAGGCATTTCCAGTCACTAATGGCATCAAACAGGGTTGTATGCTTGCACCCACACTGTTCAGCATGATGTTTACTGTCATGCTGAATGATACTTTCCAGGATAGTGATCCTGGAATTAGTCTCAGGTACAGAGTGGATGGGCAGTTCTTCAACCTGAGGAAATTTCAAGCTATCACCAAAGTGAAGGAAACTGTTCTGAGAGACTTACTCTTTGCTGATGACTGCGCTTTGAATGCTGGCTCAGAGTCAGAGATGCAAGACAGAATGGATAAATTCTCCACAGCTTGTGACAACTTTGGAGTTACTATCAACCCCCCAAAGACCAAAGTCATGCACCAGCCTGCTCCTCATGCACCATACACAGAACCCAAAATCACAATCAAAGGGCAGAAACGACAGGCAGTGGATCAATTTAATCACCTTGGCAATACCCTCTCCCGAGCAGTGACTATTGATGCAAAAGAATAGCAAAGACAAGTTCTGCTTTTGGTAGACTGTGCTCCACTGTGTGGGAATGTTGAGGAATCAGCTCAGTAACACAACTGAAGATCTACAGAGCCATGGTACTTATTATGCTTCTGTAGATGGTGAAATGTAGACTGCATATCGAAAGCATGCAAGCCAGCAAAACCATTCCCATGTGACCTGTCTTCACAGGATATTAGGCATCAGATGACAAGACAAAGTGCCTGACAACTTTATTAAGAGCATGTCTACTATCAGTCCACACACTGCTGAGGAGAGCACAGACCCAGTGGGCCATTCATGTCATTCATATGCTGGAAGAGTGCATACCTAAGCAGCTCCTTTTTAGGGAACCCTCTTCTGGAAGATGCTTGTATGGAGGGCAGAAGAAACATTTCAAAGACACGCTAAAGGATTCCCTGAAGTTGCTTGAGATAAACATGACCACCTGAGAAACACTAGTGCAAAACTGCCCTTCCTGGTGTGACCTCATCCACAAGGGCTGTCAAGTTGACGAAGCAAGGTACATTGCTGAAGCACAACATAAGCATGAGCTAGGTAAGGCCAGAACCTTTAGTACAACAACTACAGTGCCTATATACATCTGCCAACATGTGTGAGAACTTTCTATACCCAAATTGGCTGATTAGTCATCTTCAGATACACCACATCTAGTCTTAATGTGATAAAAACAAACAAAAAACATGGTGTCAAGGTCTTCATTGACAACAATGGACAAACAACATGTCCAATCAGAGCACTATCTATATATTGCAATCCATCACTTACTAAGAACCAAACAGAAACCTCCTTTTTTCCCCCTTCTCCCATCCTAGTCCTTTTCCTTGTTACAGTGGTTAAAATGTTACTTAGAATTTGGAAGAGCTTGCCAAGTCCATCTTTAGCCATGGAATTGCACTGGGAGAATTTAGGCTGTCCAGGTTCTCAGCACTTTGATAGGATTGTGTTGTTGGTGAGGAGTTGGAGGAAGGGGTACTATAAGTAGTGTCTTGATCACCTGGAGGAAAGACAGGAAAGAAAGCTATGAAACTCATAAAATACTATAGTAGTGCTTAAGATTTAGAAGTCCCAGAACAGACCGCTCTTTGAAAAAAAGTGGGGTGCTTTCCTACCCTGGATGAACCATTATTTAAAATAAAGACATGCTTTGGGCACCAAGGGAAGAGAGGCACCAGTTTTTCTCCCCTAGCTTGCCCTAATCTCTTCCACTGTCACACTTTGCTTTCGTATGAATACTGCAATTAGATTACACTTTTTCCTGATAATAATTTTATGAAAAATGCATAAAATCGTGTTGAAAATTTGCATTTTTTCTATTGCCCTAGTTATAAGTAAATAGTTTGCTTATGATACTTACTGCTATTTAGTGTTAAATATTCTTTTTAAGTTTATATTTAATATAGTTGTGGGGTCCAGCTTGGGGGTTGGCCTGGAAGAAAACTGAGTTTTTAATCTATTATTTTACTTTCAGCACTTATGGGATCTTAATTTCTTATGGATGGACCAAAGGAGAGCATTGCTGGGCTATGCTTAGGGTACCAGTTGGCCTCAATCCAGCCCTGGTCCCTTCAGTGAAACCCAGTGTACTGTAATCCTAGTAGGTACAGGAAATAAGAATAATATTAAAAGGGACTTGTTCCATGTCACAGTAACTTTAGTCTTAATGGAAGGTGCAGCTAGGATGAAGTTGGCTTTCTCCCACTCTCTGTCTTCAGTCTTTCCAAACATCATGCAAAGTTTCTAAAGCATCCATTCAGACGTTACCTTCTTCTTTATGTGGCTTCTTCTTAGCTCACTACACTTTGATCTATGTGGCCAAACCTATCCACCCCACCACACATTAGCAGCTTCTTTGTCATAAAAGTAGTAGGAATCAAAATTCTGCACATAACATTTCACCAGACTGAATGTCAAAAAAAGTTTCTAAAAGGAAGAACAGCTTGATGGGGAACCACTAACCAAAAACCGTGAGGATTTGTCTTTACTGGCTGTTTTCATGAAGAGTCTGGACAGCCATCTGCCAAAGATACAATAATTTAAGTCTATGCACTGAGTGGGGAACTGTACTATATTTTACAGTGTCAATCACCTCCTCCATTCTATTATATGTTTTTTTTTTAATTCTTAATTATCACTCATACTTTTCTCCATTCTATTATTAGTTTTTTTAATTCTTTGTCACCACCCATATTTTTCTCACAGTTTATTATATTATTTTAGTCTAGTTCATAGAATAACACACCACCTTAATGGTCTATTTAAATAGATCTTTCCACTGATTAATAAGTGTGGGACTG